CCCCCTTCCGGCCCTTCGCCCCCGCCCGGGGGGGGGGCTGCAGCCCGGCGGCCCCCCGCCGCTCCTCTGCCAAAGCCAGGAAAGGCCGGGGGTCCTGTTAAATTGCAAATCCCCCGTGCTGAGCGCGGGGACAGCGTCAGCCTGGTGGTCTCCCTTGCTTCCTCCCAGCATCGCCCCAATGGTTGTGCCATGCTCTGATTTCCACAGCCCGGTGTGCCGGGGTGCAGGAACCCCGGCTAGCTGGGAGCACCAGCCTTGCACGTGTGTTTTGGGTTAGATCTGCCCCCAGGTACCAGCATCTTCCCCCATGACTCCTGGGTCGGGTCCCCCCTGCAGTCAGGCATCCCTGTACAGCAGTTTTTTAGGGCCGAGTTCCTGTGTCCTAAAAGTTAGAGGGGTAAAAAAACCAAGGAAGGTGGAGGGGGTTGGGATTTAGGAGGGTAAAAATACAGAACTTATCAAAGGAACTGCTTAGCCTTGTGATTAGCTTCTCACTTGGTGACACTGTCTTTCTAGCCTGGATTTCTTTAAAGCTCGTCAGCTTGTGCATTTGCAGCTGGTGCCCAGTGCCCCCTCCTCAGGGAGGATAAACCCTCTTCTTCCGAGCAGCGTCTCCAAGCACGACGGCGGGGCCGGCATCCCACGCCCAGGCTGCGGAGCTCTGAAGGAAAACAGCCCTTATTGAAAGCGGAGCAGATGAAGGGCAAACGCGGCCCCTCTGCCCGCCCGCCGCTGCGGCTGAGCAAACTGGGGCTGGTGCTTTGCAGAGCAGCTCGTGGGGCTGACTCACCCCCTCCTGACGCCCCGTCCGGCTGTGTCATCGGTTTTGTGTCGCAGCTCTGTTAACCTTTGGTTCCTCGTGCCCAGCAGTTAACACCTCAGGGCCGCTCCTTCCTAATTGGTGGTGTTCAAGATACATTCTTTAACCCAGCCAGCAGAAGTTTTTTCTCTCCCTCTTATTGCTTCAAGCAAAAGGAGACATCTGCCTTGAAATTGGTCTTTTGTGTTCCTCTGATGTGCTTTGGCATCTTGGTGGTGTTAATATCCTCCCAGGGTGGACTCTGCAGCCTGGTTCACTAAGCCTTTGCTTTCTAATGTCGCATTAGAGTTAGAAATCTAACGTGACTCATCAATCGTACCATCTAGCTAAGGGTTTCTGTGGTACACTGTGGCTGTGAAGAAGGGGTAGGGGCTCCAACGTGCTTTCAAAACTTGCATTTCTCCTGGTTTGCAGGATAGGAAGAGGAAATGTTGTGTTTGCAAGCGGAGCACTGAGCTCTGGGCTATCTGCACTACTAACCCATGCAGCCAGTGGCGAGCTCTCCCGTCTGCCTGCCGGTGCCCGTTGCGGAGCTGGTGTCTGGCATCCCCTCCTGCTCCAGACAAAACCCTCCGAGCCGCGGGCACTGTGGCCTCTGAGCCACCCCAGCCTCCTGGCAGGGCCGGCTGCGGGGTGGGAAGCCCAGAGCTGGTGTGAGCCTGCAGCCCTTCTGCAAAATGGAAACCACGGTGTCTCATTTTCCCCTGGAAAGCTCTTGTTTCCTGTGCCGTTCCGGACCAGAGACGGGGCAGGACCTGCTCCGTGATGTGCTGCGTGCCCGCAGCCCTGGCTGGCTCCAGCACTGGAGGGGTCTGACCTGGGCACATCGGCGTGGCCCAGATGCTGCCTGCCCCTGCCTGCTGTGCCAGGTCCCGCGCTGGAGCCAGGCGAGGCCATGGGAGAGCGCAGATGGCGGCAGAGGTGTGTCTTGGCTTCTCCAGAAGATATTATTAAATGTTTGGCAGCTTTTCCTGAAAGGTGTTTCCAGGCCCAGCTGGACGCGCCGTCTGGATGGGAGGCAAATATGTGAGGTCTGAAGGAGTGTCTCTGTAGGAGTGTGTGTTGGGGAGAAATCAGCTTTATCCCGCCTCCCCCGCCTTGCTGCCGGTTCCCTGCCTCCGAGCTTTATCTTGGCACGGCACACGTGAGCATGGCGCCGATCTGCAAGCACAGCCTTCATCCTGCAAGCTCTTTCTTTGCAGGCCAGCCCGGCTCCCCGACCGTCCATCTGGCAGGCTACCGTCCGGCCGTGGGACGGGAAGGGTTACGGGAAGCTGCCTGTGCTGGCCAGACACGCCGGTGTCTGGCCCCTGCGCTTGGGTGAGCGTTTCCCTGCTCCTGCTCGGGGAGCGATGCATCTCTCCCAGCCTGCTCCATCAAAGGTGGCTCCTGCTCTGCTTCTCCCGGCGCCGGCAGCTCTGTCCCCTGCCCACAGCCTCCCGCCGGCCGGAGGGGCTGAGCATCGGCCCCGCTCTGCGTGCACAGAGCCAGGCTGCCGTGCCTGTGCTGGCTGCACGGCAGCCCAGAGGTTTAACCTGCTTGCGTGAGGAGCGGTGGTGACCTTTTCATTTTAGTGACCGCCTACAACTGTCTGCAGCGCAGAGGCAAGCTCCGGGGAGGTGAATCCCTGGGAAGGGCAGCTTTGGCTGCACATTTGTAGGCTGCCACCAGCCAGCCCCTAAGGCTCTTTCCTCCCCAAATGGGCAGAGGCAGCTTCTGACAGCCGTCAGTGCAAGGCCAGATCCTCGCAGAGAGGGTGGAGGAGGTCAGGGCATCCCCCTGCGCGTCCGCTTCCCCCCCTCATGAAAACGGGGCGTCTTTCTGGCCGATCAGATCTGAAAGTCAGCGAAGCCGCTGCGTTGGGGCGGGCCAGGCAGCTGGGCGCTGTTTCCTTCCCTGTTGGAGCCATCAAGTCAGCGGTTGGGTTTCAGCCACTGTAGAAGCTGCTTCTGCTTCTGGGTGACTTGCAGGGGAGCAGCGGTCCTGCGCAGAGCGGGACCAGCTGGGACCCGGGACTGGGACCAGCAACCCCCGGAGCCGAGGCTGCTGAGGGCTGGGGAGCACATCTGGGCTGTGGCTGTGTGCCGTGTTAGCTCCCTCCTGGAGAGCTGGAAACCCCGGTCTTGAAGCTGTATAGAGCTATATTTCCAAAAAAACAACCAGACAACAACAAAAAAAAAAAAAAAGGCAAAAAAACCCGGGACTCTTCCGCTCCTGGGTGTGATGGGAAGGGATGCTGATGTCAGTGTCTGGCAAACAGAAATGAGGATGCTTGTGTTTTGCCAGCCTCCGCCCTCCACGCTCTGGTTTCGTTCTGGTCTTCCTGGGTGTATTCCTCCACCCCGAGGTGGCTGAATGTCCCCTGACATGGAAATGCTCTTGTATGGGTGTAGCTCATAAAATCCTCGGGGCTCTCGTGCAGGCAGCTTGCCATGGGTCAGCAGCTCTGTGGTGCATGGCTTGGGTGCACTGGTAGCCCACAGGAAATTCAAAGTAAATCTGAGTTACCCCAGCCCCTGCTGAAAGAGAAGCAAGATCAGCAGATGCATAGGAAGCTGTTTGCGTGTTTCAGCTCTTGGCAATGCCCCAGTAATACTGGGTACACTGGGGGGTCTCCCGAGCACGGCAGAGGCCCTGGTAGAAAGCTGCTGCATGAAGCACATGAGTCTAAATCTGTTTTTTTTCTTGCTTGTACACAGATTCGCTACAAGGAGGAGTTTGAGAAGAACAAGGGAAAAGGCTTCAGCGTGGTGGCTGACACCCCGGAGCTGCAGAGAATCAAAAAGACTCAAGATCAGATCAGCAACGTGAGTAGCTTCTAATCTCTGCGTGTGATATTGCCATGACCTTCCTCCCGCCGGAGGAGGCTGGGGGGGCCCTGCCCGAGCGGACCCGTGCTCCGACGGCTGCTAGCAAGCACACGAGGCTGCAGCATCTTGAAAGCCTGGCAGCATTCGTTCTCCAGCCCCTTTGCCCGGGTATCTTGTGACCCTCTTGCACCTCTCCTGGCTCCTCTGTGCTGGCAGACGCTGCAGCTGGATCCAGAGGGGTATCCGAGTCCTCCGCTTCTCCGAAAGTGCTCAAGTCCACATTGATTGTGTGAAGCGAGGAGGGGAGCAGCAGAGAGTGGCATTCGGTGGGGGCAGATGTGGACCGGGGGCAGCCCCATCCATCCCTGGCTGTCACTGTAACCCACAGCATGGGTGGCACGGTGGGGACCAGGCTCGCTGCCAGGCTCGCTGCCGGGCTCGCCGCGGCCAGCCCCGTGCTGCTCCCCCTGAGGCCCTCCAGTCCCTCTTGTGCTCTCTCTGGCTTGCGTTTGTGTGCAGAAACCCCGGCCAAAGGCACACCTCTTCCTCCTGTCCCTTTGCAGCTGTGACCGTCCCCTGCCAGGCTCCGCTGGCCTTGACCCGTCCTCTGACTCCCGCAAAGCCCTGTCCAGCCATCCGGCTGTCAGGACCGTTTGCTGCAGCTGCTGCTGCTGTTGGGTTGTGCCGAGGCTGCGCGCAGTCCCCAGGGTCCCGCCACCTGCTGTCACCAGCCCCGAGGGTAGGACAGGCAGCGTCATCCGCTTTCCTACCTACAGCCCACATCTTGCGGTGGCCGCTGCACCGGAGCAGCCTCGCAGGGAGCTCCTCGGGGTCCCTTGGCCGTGCACAGCTTCCCTCCTGCCTCGATGCTGAGACGGAGGGGTTCCCGGGGGCTGTGCACAGCAGCATCTCTCTCCTCCCTTGGCCCTCTGGAAGGGGAGCTCTGTCCTGCGTCCGCAAGAGACCCAGCTCTTCCATTTCCGAAAATGATATTAAAGCCATGCCCAAGTTCAGCGGCAGCTTGTGCTTCGCCCAGCAGCCTCCGTCCGTGTCCAGGTGCTGGCGGTGCGGGACGTGGCAGACGTGGATGTCTGTGTGTTGCCATGGTGAAGGAGGATGCACACTTGCACGTATAGCTGCAGCGCTGGCTGCGGCGACGCGGGGTGTCTGTCCCCTGCCCAAACTCGGCCCTGTCAGCAGAACGCAGGGAGTTAATTAACCTTTAGCCACTAGCGAAAGTCGGGAGCGTTCCTTATCGAATGCCCAGGAGCTGTTGCGAAACCCTGGCAGGGCTGGGAAGGCTGGTTTCTCCCTGACCAGTAAACCCGCCCCTGGAGCGCAGCTTTGCATGAGAAAACTCTTGGGCGTCCGCTCGACAGGCGGCTTCTGTGAGCCTCTGTGAGCCTCTGTGAGCCTCTGTGAGCTCCTGTGAGCTCCTGTGAGCTCCTGTGAGCCTCTCCCAGCTCCGAGCTCTGCGGCGCCCTGAGCTGAGCCCTGGGCAGTGCCCGGCCAGAGAAAAACCCGATGCTCTGGGGTGCGGCAGGGGTGTGAGCCAGAGCCCCTACAGCCGAGGTGATGCGAGACGCGGTGAAAGCCTGTCCCGGAGCTTTTCCATCCTTAAGCATCCCTACCTCGGGGACAGCTCGGGAGATGCTCTTTGCTTCCCTGGGGCGTCCAGGGGAAGAGGGCCTGGGCTTGCAGGGAGAGGGAGGATGGTGCCTGCGCCCGCGGTGGGAGCTCGCACACGCGCAGGAGCTCACACGCGTACACAAACACGAGAATGCCCAGCAGGGCGGGAGGAGGGTGTTTATTCCTTCTTCTTCTGATCCCATTGTGTGGTTCCCTGGCAAGCACTGATGTCTCCCCGAGGAGCTGCGGGATGTTACCTGCACACCAAACCCCAGGACAGCGAGGGCTGGGGACGGCTTCCCACTTGGGAAAGGGACCTGGCTGGAAGATTTGCGCTGGGGGCAGCTTCTCAGTGGGGTCTGGGCTGGCAGGAGATGAGCGCAGCTTCCCGGCCACAGAGCAGGGCTGTGGTCTTTGTTACAGAAAGCACTGCTCTTTTTTTGAGAGAATCTGTGGAGGTTTGGGGGCATTAAATAACACAGCAGAGAGATGAGACCAGTGTCCCTGTGCTCCCTTCACCCTCCCTCAGCCACGGGAGCAGTTTCCAGCAGCTTCCCCGTGGGGATCTGGCTGCCAGCCTGGGCTTGCAGTGACCCACTTAATAAAGACGCGGAAAAGGACCCGCTCCCTGCAGAAAGCCCGGCTCTGCAGGCAGCGTTTCGCTCCCGGGGGTGCAGCTGGGCAGGCACACGGGCAGCAAAGGGGGCTGCCCAGGACGGCAGCGCTCACTGGGGTGTGAAGACCCCCGCAGCACAGAGGTGCCCCCAGCCAGCCATGGTGGAGGGTGCCGAGACGGGTCCTGCACTGTGGGGAAACCCTCCTGGCAACGGAGCTGTGCAAAGCCTGAGCCTCCGAGCACCGGGAAGCGCTGTCCTGAGGCTGCCCCTGCTCAGGCTCCCTGCCGGGGCTGGGGGAGCAGGGTGCTCCCCCCGGGGTGCTCTCCTTCCCGCAGGGTGGCTCTGCTCCAGGCTCTGCCTCCCGCCTGTGCAGGGAGCCTGCTGTAGTGCCCTTCAGTAAATAACTGTTTAACCAGCAGACAAATGGGCTCCAGGTGCTTTCCGATGGCGATGCATTCATCAACACAAGGGGCTATTAATTTTTACACCCATGCCCAGGCGGCTGGGTTAACCCTTCCCTCCTGCCCGCTGTGGGGGGCACCTCTCTGTGCTGGCTGCGGGGGAAGGCTCGGTCCGATGCAGCTGGTGTGTTTGGTGGTATCTGCTTTGAGTCTCCTTCAAGCTCTCTCACGCTTCAGTTAAAGAGAAATCTGGGGGTAGATGTTGGAGCGGTACCTCCACGGCGCCTGCTGTACCCGGCTGTGGGCTGGGGAGTCGCACACCGAACTCGGCGTGTGCATGAGGGGACTTCTGAAAGGTGCTTTTGCTCCATGCTCCTGCCGCCTGCGGGCTTGGGAGCCTGGTCTTGAATCTCACCCACGCCTGAAAAAATTGCATATCCCACCTATAGGACACTTAAAGCTCCTCCTTTCTGTGCCACAAATGGCTCTGAGCAAATGTCCCTGTGGAGATGGGTGGGGAAGAAGCCCCCTGGGACTGCCGGGGAGGCTGTGAGATGGCTAATGCCGAGTCCTTGGTGGCAAAAAGAAATGAGCTGCGACGAGGTGAAGGACGTTGCTGGTGCTGAAGGGCCGCAGGAGTTGCTGCTGTTGCTGGGGTCCGGGCTCAGCCTCGTGGCTGGCGCTGCAGAGCTGTCCTGGCTGCGCTCTGACCTCTCCTTCCTCTCCTGTCGCCGTAGATAAAATACCACGAAGAGTTTGAGAGGAGCAGGATGGGCCCGAGTCCCAGCGAGGGCGCTGAGCTGGAGCGCAGGAACTCCCAGGAGAGCACTAATTACCGGAGACCCGCAGAGCAGCAGCATCAGCCGTCTCATCACGTCCAACCCAGCAACCCAGGTAAGGCGGGGGGCTGCAGGCATTGCAGCCTGCCCCGGTGCATGGCCCTGCGCCTGCTGGGGCAGCAGCCGGCTCCTTTGCGAGGGGCTTTGCGTGTCCCCCACGTCCCAGCTCTGCCTAACGGACCCGTCCTTCCCCCCCAGTCTACCAGCAGCAGCAGCCGTCGTCTCAGTCCTACGGCTACAAGGAGCCCGCGGCACCAGCCTCTACGCAGCGCAACGCTCCTTCTGGAGGGGGGGTGAGTACAGCCCACGGGCTCACAGCACCCGCCCTGACACCAGCCCCCCAGTTTCCACCCCTGGGGTTAGGGTTTGCTCCGCTTGCTCCCCGCTCCTGCAGACCAGGCAAGGGAAGAGCAGTTTTGAAGGGGCTGGTGGGTGTAACGCTGGGTGCCTGGTTTCTGCTTGCCACAGCCATTGCTGGCACCAGCATCCCTGCGCAGTGCCCAGTGAGAGCCTCCTGGATCCGGCACAGCTCTTCCGTAGGGCTCGGCACGGCTCCTTGCCCCGGGACCCCCCCATGGATGGCAGCTCTGCCTGTCTGGGGCAGGGCACGGGGAGCGTCCGTGCCCGCTGACCCCTCTCTCCCCACAGAAGCGTTTCCGTGCCGTCTACGATTACAACGCGGCTGATGAAGATGAGGTCTCCTTCCAGGATGGCGACACCATCATCAACGTGCAGCAGATCGACGACGGATGGATGTACGGCACGGTGGAGCGCACGGGTGACACGGGCATGCTCCCCGCCAACTACGTGGAGGCCATCTGAGCCGCGGGAGGGGACGGGGCCCCCCAGCCGAGCCCCCAGCCCGCGCCGGCCCCTGTGTGTGTGTGTGCGTCTCTCTCTCTGCCCCAGCATCCCTTATCCCGTGTGCTCTGCCGTTGTCTGCCGGAGCCACGTCCTGACATCTCGGTTACTCTGTGTTTCTGCAGCCGCCTCTGGTTTCTCTTGCCAATTTAGCTTTGTTCTAGCTCTGTCGGGACCGAGGGACTGTCTGCAAGGGGTGCTGGGGGCTCGAGAGACCAAACCGCCGCAGCTTTCCTTCTCCTTTGGTCTCCCTCCTCTCTAGCCCTCCTGGGCACTCCAGCATTTCCTGGCTGGGGGAAGCAGCCGGAGTCGCCGGGACCCCAGCAAAGGGAGGAGGAGACCACCCGTTAGGACCAAATTCCCCCCGCTCCGGTGGGGACGGGCAGAGGGGCAGCGATGTCTGCGGGGAGGAGAGGAGGGATGCTCGTCCCGAGGGCTGCCCTGGGCTGACTGGAGGGACGGGCTGGCAGCCTCCACCCTGCACCGCCCTGGCTCCTCCCGTTGCTTCTCCCGGCTCCTCGGTGCCGTGTTTCCATTCAATCTTGGCTCCTGTCAGTCCTCAAAACAGAAAAACGTTCGCAGTTCAAATCTTAAACAAAATCTTTCTTTCTCCTTGGGATTCTGAGCGGCTGCTCTGGACAGCCCTGGAAGCGGCTCTTGCTTCTGCCTCGGGCTCTGGCTGCCCTGCTCTGCCTCCCCGATGCCTCCGGGGCTGAGCCGGGGCTGTGCGGGCGCAGGTGAAGGAGCAGCCGCAGCCTTGCTTCGCCTGGAGGCTGCTGCTCCCGCTCGAGGGCTGGAGATGGGCCGGGCTCCCCGCTCCTCCGCGCTGGCGGGGAGCGCTGCGACACCGAGACCTCACGTCCCCCCTGCAGCTCCGGCTTTCTCTCTCGGGGCCAGGGTCTGGGGGTGCCCTGGGCCCCCTGTGCCGGGGCAGCCTCTTCCTCTCTCAGCAGTGGTCACTCCCCAAACACCCAGAATCTTTCTGCTTTTCTCTTGCTGCTGCCGGGCTTTTGGGACCCTCCTGAGCCCTCCACTCACTGGGTAGATGGTCTGGGGAGCCGGCAGGATCAGCCCCCGTCCCTGTGCCTCTTCTGAGCCACGTGTGAAAGCTCCTTCCCCTCTGCCACTATGCTGGGAACCGTCCTGGGTGACTGTCCCCTCCGGCAGCTCGGTCTTGAGTGGCAGAGACCAGGGTTTGGCACCCCGAGCCACCCTGCACCTCTCGTTGGTCCCCAGCGGTGGTGGCTTTTGGGGCCACTGCTGGCTTGGGATCGCATCGTGGACCAAAATCTCAAAGCACATCCCTGGCCCCTTCTCTTCTGGGCTCCGAAGGTCCTGGAGCTGGACAGGGGCGGGTATAACTGGAAGCCTGTGTGGGGAGGGCGGGAGTGGGATGCTCTTCTCCCGGCTCAGAGAAGCCGGACATTGGGGAGCGGCGATGCCTTTGTGCTGCCTCCGGCGCTCCCGCTGCCCCGTGCCTGCCCGCTGCCCCGGCTCAGCCCGGATCGCCGAGACCGGGCAGCCGGAGGAGACCGTCCCCTTGCCAGACTGCTCGGGGCTTTGGCTGCGCTGCACCACAGGGCCAGGATGCTTCCAAGGGGAAGCTGCCACCTTTGCTATTCCCAAATGAAAGAGGGAATCTAGGGACCAAAGTGTCTGAGGCATCCCTTGGCTCTCTCGGGGGACGGGTCTTTGGGGACAGTCTTGTGGAGGGGGAGAGGATCGCACCGCCTCGCGCTTGCAGCCCCCTTTCTCAAAGCCCATGGGGTTGCAGGGCTGGTTCTGGATGGTGCCGGGGCTGGGGTGACCGGAGTCGGGGGCTGCTGGAGCAAACGCTCTCCTGGCGGGGAGGGGGTTCCTGGCAGGGCAGAGACCCCCGGGAGCACGCGAGCTGCGGAGAGGGGACTGTTTTGCTCCTGGCTCGTTCCCCAGCCGGCTGCAATGGGAAGGGGGAGAGCGACAGGGACTCCTGGCGCCATCGTCACCTCGGGGTGAAAATGGGACCCCAGAAGCAGCCGGGATGGGCTTTACGGGATGGGAATCCCGGTTGGTGCTAAAACAAGCGAGCACAAGAGCAGGGGAGAGGGGGCGGCTGGGCAGCGGGGGAGTCCGTGTCTCCCTGCTAATCCTCTTCTTAATCACGTTCTTGTCTGGGAATGGGGGGAGTATCAATGTGAATAAACCGTTTTTTAATGGACCAAACAACACAGGCAATTACGTTTTGGTATACAAACCTTTTTTTAATGCTACCTTGAAACCATTGTCCTGATTCTCCCCTCCCACGCCCTGCCCCTTCTCCCCTGCCATGGGAAACGAATCTCTTACTGCTTGATTTCTGCCTTTTCTCTCGACTTATGCACTTTTTTGCCTTTTTTCATAGCTGAAAAGCACCTAAACCTGTATTTAAAATAAATAAATAAATAAAATAGTAAAAAAAAAAAGAAATTTAAAAGCTGAATTGCTTCTCATCACGTGTAAAATAGACCTCGTCCATCCCAGCTTCCCCGGTTGCGTCTCAGTGCTGAGCTTAGAACGTGTTTTTCTTCCGGATCCGTCGCTTGATTGGGGTTTGTCCTTGTGTACTCCTTCCCGTCGGGTTGAGCACCCACCAATAAAAACGTTATTTGGCCTTTTTAACCGAAACATCGAATGGAACAAACCAACCAATTCTCTTCCCGGTTTACTCGAATTAAAAATAAAAGTATAATTTTTACCTGCCGATTGTGCTGGGTTTGATTGTGGGTGCTTTCCTGGCCGTTTTCCGGCTCCCTTGGGACACGGTGGGGATGACGGAGGCGCAGGCGATGCCTCTCCGCTTGCTGACCCGCTTCGGGGTCTTGCTCTCGGAGGCCGAATGCCAGTTACACCGTGGTTCTGGGATCTGCTGGGATCAGGGGTGCTGGTGGCTGCTCCGGAGACCGGACCCAGGGCAATGGTTGGCTTTGCTGTGGGCAGCGTAGCAAGGGCACCAGGTCCCGGCTTCGCCCGACCTCTCCGGGAACGCGGCACCGCGACGGCCGGGCCCTCCCGCCCCCAGCCAGCCCAGTGCTCAGAGAGCAGCTGGCGACGGCTTAGCTTGGCTGCTGCAGCCTCTCAAGGTGGGATTTTCAGCGACTACGGTGTTTAGCAGCGGGAAAAGAAAATCTTGAAGGTGTGTGGAGAAGGATGTTATTTGCATCACCAGAAAAATTAAAATAAAAAGGCTCCATGGCTGTTGCTGCTCACTTATAATGTATTGCTTTAAACCGTACTGAAGTGGGTGGTGTGACACCGAAAGCAAAGGATGCTGCAGAACCCCAGGAGTGCCGGACTCTGAAAGGTGAGAGTGCAGAGTGGCCCTGACGGATCGACATGGCTTTGCAATGGCCAAAGCTCATTTTTGCTTCTTTCCCCATAAGGTGGGCCCTTTCCCAGCTGCAAACAGGGGGTCGCATCACTGTAAGCACCCCCATAAACTGAGCAGCAGTTCGGGGGGCGCCTGCCGGGAGCCCCGCTCGCAGGGCTGGGCTGAGCGAGCGCTCCTCTGCCCGAGCGAGGCTGAAGCCCCATCTGACCGCCTGTGTTTATCCCTTTATTTTCCGCCTGCCTGCTGGAAAGCGGCTCCGTCAGCTCCGGCATCATCTCTCCATCCTGAGCAGGGCGAGCCGTGCTCTGGCTGGGAGGGGAGGACGCAGCGGCGGGGGCTGGCGAGCGAAGCGGCGGCTCTCTGCCGAGCATCCCCTTTCCACGCCGCGGGGAGCGCGGCAGCCCCTGCCCCACCGGCTCCTCGCTTACCATGCTGGATATTTTCATCCTGATGTTTTTTGCCATCATCGGCCTGGTGATCCTCTCCTACATCATTTACATGCTCTAGAGCGATGCTGGGGAAGATGCGGCTCAGCATCAGCCTTGCGATCCAAGCATCGTCCAGGTGAGCTGGCTGCTCCTCGTCCCACCAGGTTTTAATTTCTGGGAAGAAACGTGTCCGGGGAGGGGGGAGAGGGGATGGGTTTGGTGTTAACGCTGTTGTCTGTGGCTGCTGCTCCCTCCGCCCGGACGGCACCAGCGCAGCCGTTTCCTGCTCGGGGCTGGAAGGAGGCACCGGGGTTTATTTTATAAATCAGGCCGCCTCGCCCGCTGAAACGTGCACCGGCTATTGTGCGGCTGCCGGCTTCTCCCCGCTGGGTTCGTCGGCCCCTTCCCCTGTGGAAAAGCTGCTCTCGGCCTTTTATATTGCCGCAGCACGAACTTGCGGCTTTTGTTCCCAAGAGGGAGAGAAATAAAACAGCTTAGGGGAGAAGCAAGAAGGGATCCCGGTTGCAGCATTTTAAAGGAGGCAAAAGGGGGGGTTCCCCCCACGCGGGGCGAAGGGGGGCTGCTGCCGCTGCCTGTGCTGGCGCACGCTGCCATTCCCGCTCCTCCCGCAGCTCTCGGGCCCAGGTCACACAAGCATCTCCCTTCTCTTCCACAGCCGCCGCCTGGTCCGTCTGCCTCGGAGCCTTCTGGAAAAGCGTTAACCCTCTGCAAGCAAACGGCTGCCCAAGGCGGAACACGGAGCCACGCGGGGCCGGCAGCGGCGCTGCGGAGGGGCTGAGTGGGCACGGCCAGCGGGGCGAAGGAGGCAAATGGGGTGGCGGGGGAGAGGGCGGCGAGGTGACGTCCCACTGCCGAGACATGGGTTGTTCCCGGTGACGCACGCGACGTCCCGGGGGGATGCAAAGGGTCCTGCCCCCTCCGTGTGGCTTGGCCCCTTGGGATAAGCGCTTCCGAGGTCGGTCGTTTGGGTTTAATTTTAGAAAAGCACTTATATTTTTAATGAAAGATGTTCAAGGAAATGAAATAAAGAGGAATGACACAGGAGAGCGAACACGTCTGCTGGTGTTGACTCTGCCGAACCGCGTCCCTGCGCGTCGACTGCAGGGCTGGGGCACAGACGGCTCCGGCAGCAAACCCCGCTTCCGCAGAGACGCGGGGCGCCCTGC